CGGCTGTGCCATTAGCCAAGAAAGCGATTCCCTATCCGACTTGTTTTGGCTTCGCATGAGTCTAACTGACAACTCGAGCGATATTCAAACTTGCACAGTGTCTACATGCTGCCACCTGACCCTAAGGTCCTGAACCAACAGATTTTGGGAGTGAAGACAAACCGAAATCAGCATACCTTTCCAAAGAGGCTATTTTCAGCGGACCAATTGAGCAGCAACACAAAGAGAGTGGCTCGCGTCATTCAAAAGAAGTCCTGATTGAAGACGAAGTGGTGACATTTTACCTGATTTCGTATGTCCAATGCTTCCTCTGACTGTCAGAGGTAGCTGCTGCTGAGTCTGAAACAAATTCCGTCACGTTCACAGCTCTGCGAGCAAGACTTCAATGTTGTCTTTTCCAATAGATTTTACATAATTTATCGCTAACATTCTCGTCTAGTTTATCCTCACGTTGGGCAAGTGATTGAAAAGATAAATTTTAGCAAGTCCACAGAAGATGGAACTTTACAGGCTTGACTCTATGCCTGATGTGAAATGTACAATGTTTGCTGAGATGAAAATATGTCGAACCAAAAGAAGCCAGCATGACTGTAGGCAAGATGTACGGTGTTTGAAGGGAGATCTGAGGGCGAGAAGAAGTGGGAAAGGAGGAGGGAGAAAAAGGAAGATTAGAAGAAGTGTCCGGGCGGAATGTTGTTAGCGAGCAAATAAGCCTGCCTGCATCGAAAAGGTATCCATTAAGTCTCCTTTACATAAATCATCCAAAGCAATCTCTCGACCTCGACTATCAGAAGCCCGCCGGATGGAGCCAATGCGTAGAATTCCCGTTTGTGCCACTCGAAGTGGTAGTTAGTCTGCTCACAAGTGACTAAAGCAACAGCTCGATTCCGCATCGAAAACAGCCGACTCATGCCTTCCAAAGTTCCGTTGCTGCTCAGACTGGCCTGGCGTTTCGACGACATCTCAGTCCGGTCAGCATTTCCAGAAATTGCCCTATTGCCAAGACGAGACGAGCTGGCTCACTGAGAC